CAAAGCAGTGAATAGCTCTGAAATACTAATTTCTGAACTGTTGAGAGCTACTCAGTGTTTTCCTAAGTAATGCCCATGCTTATGGCATCTATATCTATATTCATTTGGCACAAAGATTTTGCATCAGATTTTTTTACCTGTTCTTCCTATATTTTATTAAATAGTTTCTGACTCTGAATCGTTCAACCTGTATCACTTTTATCAGTCACCCTCATGTCTTCTGAGATCTGGAGCAGTGGTTGTCAGCTATTTCCCTTTGCATTTTGTCTTACAGAGTTCTGTTCCATATTAGTGGAATCAACTTCTTTGGGATATGCTGTACCTTTTCAGGACACATATTGCTTATATGAACGGAGTATTTTAATAACCATGTGCAGTCTTTAACAATCTGTATCYGTGTTGTGTTCTCTGATATGAGTCCTGTATTGTGATATCTGATRTGATTTAAAGGTGATGTCTATGGCAGTAAATAAATGAGCAAGGAATCCTTCTCCCATTCTCCAGCCAAATGGTTCAGCACAGCTCGTAGTCCCAGTRCATGACCCCCACTCATGAGGTTGCATCCATTGGGAACCATCATCTAAGTCATTCCTGAAGCTCTCCCTGCCTTTTGCTCTTTGACAGTTCTTTTTTTTTTTTAATTTTGGACCTTTAAGGACTCAACAAAACAAACATTTTTTTGTGTGTAGATCAAAAAGACCCATCCTGGACTAGCAGATCAGTACTGCTCCCTTGCCTTTCTACTTAAATTTTTGTCTGCTTTGCATTAAGCCTACAGAGCTTCCCTGTCCTTTCATTCCACATCTGTGTCCTTCAATTATGCTGTGGATTTTTTCAGGAACGGAGTTCAGGGGAGGATAGCTTTTTTCCTGTAATTAGGAAACAGGAACCTTGCTTGCTTTTATTCTAAATTCTCTTACGTGTTCTGATCCTAGTATTTCTTTTGAAATTTTTTTTTCTCATAATTTTGAGGACTGGATTGTAGAAGCTGGGTCCAAATTAGGTTTATGTTCTAAACAGTTTGCAGGTAGGCAACAACACATGTACTTGAAAATTGGAATCTRCAGTAGAAGTGGTGAATAAGCTTGACAGCAGTGTAGCTTCATATAAAATCTTGTAAGAATGTGTTAATAAATGCTAATTTGATCATACCTGGGAACATCAAGCTTTTTACAAGTTATATCTTGCAACTAAGATTAGGATAGAGAAWTAACTGAGGCATCTGGATCGAAGGAAATGTCTAGTGAAATTTCCACTGCTCTGAATTCTGGAAATTTATTTCACTATTGCCTGAATTCGCTGAGTCTTTCTTTTCTTTTTTTTTTTTTTTCCCTGTTATGTCTCAGTTTTTCTCTCAGTTCTGTAGAAGGACTGTAGTAGAAGAGAAGAGGGGTTATTTTACATTATGATCCCCTGTTCTCATCTTTCCTATTGTTCTAAGACCAGCCAGCCTAAAAGACCCCTCAGAGATGATATGATCCCTCAGAGAAAGGCCTGCAGCCATGAACTCTTGACTATTTTGCAGTGTTCAAAGCATTATTTGTATAAAGACAATAAAAAAAGCTTGTTCCTTTACAMGGATGAGTGCAAGGAGTTTGATTTCTGAGAATGGCAAAGAATTTCTTTCTCAAGCTATTGAAAATGACTCAGTAAGAGATTTTGATCTCTATATTGTAAATTTGATATCCTGTGGATCTCCTCTTCACCTCACCTATTGAGTCACTTGTTATATTACATCTTTCAAGCTTAATATGTGATTGATTAAAAACGCTTCGCTTTCTGCTTGCTTTTCTATATGATCTTTCTTACCTTAAATGTTTCATGCTTCTTGGCATTAATGTCCAGAGTCCCTCTGTTAGGGTATTTTAGCTGACCTGTGTATACACATCATTTTAGGTACTGATTGTTGAAGTATATAAAAACACTCTTCTGAGTGTCCTGATGTAGCAAGCTTTTTATGCATATCTCAAGCATGTGTGGTTCACCTAAAGACAAGTTTCCTAGCACATAAAGAAGTTAGCATCTATTTTATCAAATAAGTGTATGCCTATAATGTTACCAAACCTCTCTGGGTATGATTCTTCTCTGAAATGATTTGCTCACTTGTCTGCTAGTCAAGTCCTGAGACCTCACAGGAATAACCTTGTGTTTTTTTGCCTAACTTCTAGGCCAAGGCTTTGTGGTTTCCCTCTACTTTCCAGTCGTCTTTCATTGTGGGCTTTCTCTTTACTGGAAAATGCTGTTCTTCAATCTCTGCTATATTTTCAAAAGGAGTGGGGTTGCACCTTTGGAATACAGAATTGTGCTCAGCCATGCTGCTTGGCCATATTTTCTGCAGCCAAACACAAGAAATACAAGGTAAGCAGTACAGCTTTGGAGCTGTGAATGGCCGTTCCCTCAACTGCACCCAAAGTCACAAACATCTTTAGGAGTTCTCCTGTCCTTCAGCAACACCATCACACACATATGCCTTACCCTGAATGTGGAAGGAATGAGGTTTACCAATGTGCAGTCATTTCTCAAAACTCAGTACCCAGCAGATATTTTTTCAGTGACATCAGTGACTGCTCAAGCCCAGTGCAATAAATAAAGGCAAAACATGCTGCTTCTGTAATGAAAGCCTAAAACAACACAGACTTAAGCACCTTGGGAATTTTGGGGAACTTACCTGTAGATTCAAGACGAGATTCCCATGACAAAGTAATGCAGAGCTAGCCTCCTCTGAGCCTCTGCCATGCAAACATGGACACAGGAAGTACTGAAAGGACATCTTCAAGGGAAGATTTCAGATCCTCCATCCTTCCAGAAGCAGAGAGTAGTGACCAGACACAGCAAGGGAGTGGAAAGGCAGAAGGATGACATCCCACATCCTGAGTGTTCCTTGGGAGCTTCAGACAAGAGCCAGAACTTTATGGCAGCTCCTTGGCTCCTAAAGACTTTGAAACCCTCAGTTCAGCGCTGACAGGCTCCACCAAGTTAACAGCTCATACAAACCATCCCTCCTAGCAAGGCAAATCTTTTCATTGTGCAACTTTTTTTTTTTCAGCTTTATTAGCCAGCAGTGTGTGCCCTACATTACATCTCTTCCGCTGTGATGTGTGTCCTCAAACTGATGGGTGTCCTTACTCTACCTGTCTCTCTGTGGAAATGGCTTTCTACAGACTACAGAACTACATGAGGCCGCTCAGCTAAAAGCMAGTCCTTTAACTGGTGTATAATTCAGCAGCGCTCCAGTTAACCTTGTTCTTCTCCTCTGGCCCGAATTTATTCAGCATGATTTCCACACTGTCTTCACAGCAATGAACTCAGTTATGTGAAAGGGTTGTGTGTACAAGTCAAGGGCTTCAACACAGGCTTGGAAGGATAATTCCTTGAAAACTAGTCTCACCACCTCTTAGCAAAACTTTCAGACCACAAAGAGGACTTGGGAGTTATCTCTGGCCAGATGCTGAATAGAATAGCAATCAGTTTAGCAGTGTGAGAACCAGGCATGTCCAATCCTGAACTTCTCTCTATCCCTGTCTTCTTCTGGGGGCAAGTTATGTAACTTTGTAAAATTGATAAATCTTAATCTATAAGTATTAATCTAATCTGTAAGTATTAATCTAACGGTCTGTTTTTCCACTTTATTTGTACTTAGGAAGCCTACTGATTTCACTGAGAATTTAGGGTAAATAAAATTCATCCTACTATTAAAAGCTTCAAAAATAATGAATTAGAGAATTGGTTATGAGCTCTTAGGTTATGAGCAACTTTCTTGCTTTCCTCAGCCCATGTACATAAAAACTTAAGATTTAGAAGGAATGCAAGCAGTTCAGTCATTGAATCTAGTGTTTTAGAAGATTAATTACATTCATTTTTAATAATTTAAGAGGTTACTTTCTAGATTCACAGTATATTAGCATGCAATTTAGAGGCATGCAGTTCTGAGGCAGATCTTCTGGATTTCTCAGAATTGCTGAAAAAAGGTTATTTTCCATTACTTCCGCTTATATCTTTCAGGCTTGTTTCCTCCACATAAACATATCTTCCTCTTTGTGGTGAATGGGAGTTTTGGAGGCACAGAGGCTCAGGTTCTCCTTCTGTTCAATTAAACAAATAAATCCTTCTTACTTAAATGAGTCTCTGAAGAATAAAGGGTAGGTAAATCATGTAACATTTTCCCAGTCTGTATAACAGACCTTATCTAGCACATACATGTARCATTTTAAAACATTAGTTACAGCACTCACCAAGTGCTAAAATAAGTTTTATTCGCTTTGAATGGAGTAAGATAAACATTTGTTAAAACACCTAATAGTTTAGTTTGGAATGGTATAGCAATAGTAAGAAATGGTTAGGAGAAAAGTGAAGCTGCCTATTAGAAGTCTGACTGCTGATTAAAACTTGCAATTTCAGCCCTGGGCAATTGTTTTCTTGAGTGACTCATCAAATCAGCTTTACCTAAAGAGTCAATACTGAGAAGCCAGGTGAACCAATAAGTACTCCTTTCAGGAACACAATTGCTACCACAGACTTTTGAGAACACAGTAAAGCATTTTATTGTTTATACTCATTTTCATTTACACATAGGAGGGACAATCAATGCAATTCTATCACAGCAGGCAGATCATATCCTGAAACTTTTACCCTGCCTGCTGAATGTACCTAGAGTTGTCTTAAGGTCTGATCAAAAAGAGAGGGAAAAAAATGTGGGAGAGGGTGGGAACAAGAGAGAAGAGTAATTTTGCTAACATCAGTTAATTCACAATTCATGAGTATTTATTTTGCAGGTGATATAGCTCTTAAAGAGCAAACTGCTTCACTTCTCTACAAAATAGACCATAAATAATGTAATTATTTAGAGGATTCTAAATTTTGCAGTAGTTCATGCAGTAAGGGTGTGCAACTGACACAAAATGGAAAACTCGGTTACAACATCTAACTGCTACTTCTAATCCCAGATGGTTTATGGAAAAGGTCATTGGACTTCTTGCCTTCTGCTCTTGGGTTATGGAGTAGTAGAAAGAAGTATTTATTTTATAAAGGCAACTATGAGGACAGACTATAAATATGCAGTGCAGTTGAAYAGGTCTACAACTCTTGTTTCTACGGAATTTGCATTTGCTATTGTTTGGAAATACAAATAAAACTTTTGCACACTGCTACTTCTCACATGTTTGGCTGAAGGAGTCATCTGCAGAGTTTACTGTGATGCTCCTGTTTTTAAATGCTCCCATTTTTCTCCTCTGGGCCTCCTAAGAGGAGTGAGCAACTCTTTCCAGTGAAAAAAATTACAGGTGTGCAGAAGTACAGCTAGTTACTAACACAGACAGACAACTGTGCTCCTGTGCACACCCTTACAACCGGCTGGAGAACAACTTAAGAAGTTAAGCCTGCAAAATAAATGGAGTTTGTGCTCAAACTATTCTTCAATCCAGACGAATTATAGACCTTGATTTGAGGCTGCCCTCTGTTTTCCCTTTTTTCTTGGTTTTTTTTTTTTTTTTTTTTTTTTTTTGCAACTGATCTGCATGGCTGTTGGAACAGCATCTCTGCCAGAGTCATTACACTGAAATGCAGAGCTGAGCAGTTTGGTGGCAGTATGTATTGACGTTTCTGCAGCATCATGAGTCTGGCAACTGGGCTTGGGGAAGTTTCAAGCAGTGGGTCTTTACAATAGCAACTTGATTCTGCAGACAAAAAGCAAGAGATGGGCAGGATTATTAAAGTATCACAGTGAGGGCAAGTGTGCATGCTGCAGAAGGGGGTTAGAGAGAAGGGCTGTCAGGCAGCCTCCGCTCTCCTCAAAGGCACAGGAAGGCACTGCTTTCCAGGGTGTGGAAAGAAACATAAAAGCATGGAGCCTTTTCATGATCACTGAAAGGTAGTTTTCTTCTAAGATCGCGGCTCTCCAGGCCCAGCTCAGGCTGGACTCTTCCCAGCAGGAGGAGTCAGAGCCGAAAGGAGGCCAGGAACTAGGTTGAAGTTTTCCACCAACTCACCTCAGACCTGTCCTATCTCCCTTTCCCAAGGAAACCAGCCCTGCATTTCCATGGGGTTGCCCCCGAGAGTGTGCCGCGTCCCTGGACAGGAAGGGGATCGGGGAGGGGCTGCTCCCTTCCCCCCCCCCTCCCCCCCCCCCCCCCCCCCAGTCCTGCCGCTGGAAACCGGGAGTCCCTGCCCCGGTCCCCGCGTTCCCGGGATCTCCGCAGCGCCGGGCTATAAAGCAAGCGCCGTTCAGCACTCCCTGGGCTCAGCACCGGCTTTAGCACGGGCGATGGCAGCAGACTCGCTTAGTAAAGGGGAGAAGGGGGGAGAAGAAAAAAAAAAGAAAAAAAAGGCAGATTGCCGTGAGTCACTCGCTCCCTGCGAGCTGGGGGGTGCAGGCGGGGGGGCAGTGTGAAATGCTGGCAGCGTGGGCATCGCCGCCGCTCGCCACGGTGCTGAGCGACCTGCCGGCTCCCGCACGGCTCCGCACAGCCCCGCGGAGCTCGGCGGAGCGGCCGCGGGCAGCGCGGGGCGCGGWGCCCTGCGCGCCGCTCCCGCACCTCGCCGCGGGGCTCCCGCATCTCACGGTGCGGGCTGCAAAGCAGCCGCTCCTGCTGGCCGCCTTAGGGGTGTGTGTGTGTGGGGAGGGGGGAATAAAAGGCKGTTTACGGGTTTACCCGCCCCCCTCCAGCCGCTGTTACCGACCCGCCGCTCGCGAGGCTCCCGAGCGGGGAGCGCACCTACCTGTGGCGTCGGACACGGGCGTGCATGGGGGCAGCCCCGGAGAACACATCGCATTCAAAATTCAGCTTGTGCATCGGAAACGTATGAGTTTGTGGAAAGCTTGTTTGAAGTCTTCGTTGGACATAGTATAGATGATGGGGTTGATGAGGGAGTTGAGATATCCAAGCCACGTGAAAAAGTCAAAGATGGCCATGTGGAACCAGCAAGCGTGCTTGCAAATAGGCAACACCAGGCTGATGATGAAAAAGGGCAGCCAACAGACGATGAAGGCTCCTAAAATAATCCCTAAAGTCTTTGTAGCTTTCCGCTCCCTAGCGGCCGTGAGCTTCTTTTTCTCCAGAAGGGCATCCGAGACCTTCACCTTCACTTGGTTCATGTACACRGGAGAGCCCGTTTCACTGGATCCCTCGGGGGCCTTGGAGTTTATGGACGTGACAGAGGAGGATGAGCCCGGGGAGTCCGTGATTAACTGAGCCCGAGTTAGTCTTTTACCTGCTTTCTTTGGCGTCTGCTTCAAAATCCTCGACCTGGCTTCCACGTAGATCCTCCCATAGAGGGCTATCAGCAGCAAGGTGGGGAAGTAGAAGGCTCCCACCGTAGAGTATACGGTGTAGAGGACGTGGTCCGTGTTCACCACACAGTGAGAGACCTTCTCGGCCTTTGCCTGCCGCCAAAACAAAGGGGGCATGGAGATGCAAATGGAGAAGACCCAGACCAGGGCAATCATGCCCGCTGCCCGCTTGGGAGTCCTTTTTGTGGAGTACTCGACGGCATCAGTGATCGCCCAGTACCGGTCTAGGGCAATGACACAGAGGTGCAGGATGGACGCTGTGCAACAGGTGATGTCCGAGGAGAGCCATATATCGCAGACAACCTGTCCCAGCGTCCACTTCCCGGTCACAGTGTACATGGTGCTAATGGGCATGACGAGGATGGAGACAAGGAGGTCGGTGACGGCCAGCGAGGCGATGAGATAGTTGGCCGGCGTGTGGAGTTTCCTCGTCTGGTAGACCGTGGCGATGACAAAGGCGTTGGAGAGCACCGTGGCCAGCGTGACGAGCGCCAGGACGACGGCGAGCACGATCTTGCCGGAGAGCGGCGTGCCGTCCTGGTAGATGCCCTCCTCGGCGCTGCAGTTTCGGCCGTGGTAGGAGGCATTGGCGGGGAGCAGCGGCAGCGGGGCAGCCGCCGCCGGGCAGGGGCTCGCCGGCTCCATCCCTCCCTCCCTCCCTCCGTGCGTGCGCGGCCGCCGCCCCCGCAGCGGCGGGCGCAGCGCAGCGCGGGGCGCTACCCCGGCAGGAGCCCGTCGGCGCCGGGGGAGGGCTGCAGCATCCCCGCGCCGGCACCACCTCCCACCTTCCCTCCCTCCCTCCCCTTCTCCTTCCCTCCCTTCCGGGGAGCGCGGCGCGCGCTCGGCGGAGCCTCAGTGCCCTCGGGCGAAGGCGCGGGCCGGGGCTGCGCGCTCGCGAGGGGACGGGGAGCAGCGCGGCGGGCTGGGCGCGGGGC